AAAATCAGGGAGAAAAAAAGCAAAATAAAATCAAAACAAATCACTTGAGATCAACAGAACAGTCCCAGCTGGTGAATTATCATTATTAGTGAATATTAATGGTCTGGGAGCGGGGCCGGGAGCTCACCTGCGAGCGAAGGGGAAGTTGATGGAGGTGCTGGCGGAGAAGTTGCGTGGGCTGTCCAAGGGGCTGCTCCCGGCTGCAGGGAGAAAGGGGGAAAAGTCACCCCGATACCCTCCCCGGTGCGATGCCCGGGGTGCCGTGGGCTGCTCCTTCAGGGGAAAGAGGGGGTAAATCGCTTCCCAAGCTATTCCCTCCTGGAAAAGGCACCCGTGGCCGGGAGCCAGCCCGCTGCTGCTAACAAGGTGCTGCAGAAGCAGAAGGGTTACCCTCCAGAATATTTCGGTAATTTTGGGAGATGCTCAACCCATCCCCTGGCACATCCCTTACCTGTCGGCACGGAGAGCGGGGAGAGAGGCCGCGAGAGGGTCGGAGAGGGGGTGCCCACCACTAAGCTCTTCCTATTGCTGCTTCGGCAACTAGGGAAGAAAAAAAGGGAATTAATTTGGGGAAGCAAAGGACGGGCAGGCCTGGACGGGCTCGGGCACATAGGGGTCCGCTCGTACGTGATGCCCTGTGCCAGGGGACACGGCTGCCATCCCCCCATCGATTACGGATCTCCTGCCGCAGGGAAGATCCGTCCCCGGTTCAATGCTGCCGGAGACGGGCCGACGGGGTTATTTTTAACGACGAACCATCTCATCGAGGTCCCACTTCTGGTTTTGGCTCGCTGGGGAGGGCAGAGGCAGGCGGCCCCTTGGGCAACGCGCCGAGGGCAGGAATAGAAAAAGGGATGTAAAAGGAGGAAGTGACGGAAATGCCAAGCGGCCACAACCCGGCCGGCTCCATGGCATGGAAAATGCCCCCGGTTCCTATAAACCTCCCTACACTCGCTGGTCCCCGTGTCACAGTGGGGAGGACAGTTGGTCCCCCCCGACCCCCTGAGACTTTGCGGTGTCGCTGGGCATTTGCGATGCCCCGGCAAAGGCCCGGCTCGGCCGCGCTCCGGCAGGCAGCAGGAGGAAGCCTCGTGCGCTGACGCCAGGTGAAAAGCAGCACCACGCACGGGTCCACGCTGACGGCGCTGGCACCTTGACACCCCAACCCTCCCATCCCAGTGCCGCACTCCGGCATCCCACAGAGCTCCTCTGGAACAACCCAAAGGCCACGACCGCAAGGGCCGGATCTCCGTATCACCGTCTCCATTCCCACCCTCCCAACTCACAAGATTTCAGTCCTTCTTGCAGGAATTTCCTTTTTCCTTTCCTTTCAGCCCTTCTCCAAGCACCGAGCCCAAGGCTGCCTTGCAAGTGTGGCCCAGGCTCGAAAAGCCCACCTGCCCGCAGGGATGCTCCAGCCCCACTCCTGCCGTACACAGCCCATTTCAACGCCTTTTAAAATACGATGGGTTCATTTAAGTTCTCTTTCACTCTGCAGAGAGGGAACTGCAGGTATCCACAGAGCAGAACCCGGTGCTAGCTGGCATGCAAGCACAAGGACGACCTCCCCTTTCCTCTATCTGCATTTCCTTGGGCTGCAAGTTCTGCAGAGGTGACGCTGAATTTCCTCCTCGCCAGGCTGGGAACAGGAACCTGCACGGATGCCACTAATTAAAGGACATCGTTTAACATCACGCCGCGGCCAGATACACCCGCAAAATTGAGAGGCTGAACCTGGGGCGAAGGGATTCTCCCCGGATCCCAAAAACAGAAGCGAACGCCAGATGCGGTATCCGGGGTGCAAAGGATGGCATTTCACAGCACGCCGTCCCTCCGGACGGACGTACATGGCACCAATGCACGGTCAGCGCCGGCGACACGTGGTCAGAGCTCCGCACGCACGGCCAGAGCTCCGCACGCAACGCCTGGCACCCCGTCACCTCCCGCTGGCGTCTCCCCCGCTGCAGGGCTCCTCCTGCTCCCACCCTAAAACCAGGAGCCCCAACTTTTCTGCTTGAGACTGAAGATCTTGGGCAAACCGGCGACCAAGGAGGCTGCTTAGGGCCCCCCCAAAATCCTCCTCTGCCGGGCTGCACCCTCCCTGCACCCAGGATGAGGGGACACCAACCCCCTGACCACCCTGAGCTCACTCGAAGCTGCAGTGGTTTCGGATGGCTCGGAGCCTCCTGCTCAGTGCCGGAGCTGAGCAGTGATGCCAGGGGGGAGGCAGAAATCTTCCCCCCCTCCCCCCGCAACCATTCACCCCTTCCTGCCGCTGCCTGGCCCCTCCGTTTGCTTTTCTTGCTTCAACACAGGCTTGAACACCAATTGCAGCTCCTATAGCTGCAAATTCACAGCCCAGCACCCACCCCTGGAGCAAGAGCAAACCACAGCCTCTTGCCGCCGCCGGCTCTGCGTGCCGGATGGGAAACTGAGGCACTGCAAGCAAACCCGCTCTGCCACCGAAGCGGCAGAAGCAGGAGGGCTGCAGCCAGCAGCCAGCTTTGGCGTTGCTTCACCATTCGGTCCTGCCGCGGGGACCGGGGTGCACGTGCATCTGTGTCTTGCGGGGGGGGGGGACATCCCAGGGGATGAGGGGCTTGCTCCTGCTTGCTCGGTTTCATTTTGGAAGTGAAGACAAACCTTTAACGAAGCAAGTTCCAGTAACGGTGACACAGAGGGAGGCCGACGTTTCCTGTTTCCGCGCGCTCCACCCTCAGCTCCGCAACCATCTTGCGCCACTTTAACCCCCCTTCGCCTGATGCATCATCTACAGCTGGTTCCCATCCTTCACGGCATGGAAACCTCGGGCTAGAAACAAGCCTCGGGGTAGAGACGAGCTGCCGAGCCCTGAAGGCAGGAGCTAGAGCTGCTGCCCTATTTGCCTCCATCACCTAATTGCACATTTGGTACCAAAAATGGAGTGGAAAAATCGTCGCAACAATCTCCTGCGCTGCTCGTGCTGAGGCTGCCTGGGCCTCGGCGCTGCCGTTGCCATCCAGCGCTTATTTCAAAGGATGCGGAAAGTGTGCGACAGCCGGTGTGACCCCGAAGCCTGGAGCAAAATAATGTGTCACCCGTCCCGAGGCTGCCTGCACGGACGGCCCCCCCCGCCGCCTGCCGGCACCCGCGCCAGCACCCAGCCTCGGCGCGGCATGGCCGGGATGTCCTCAGGCAGGAGACAGAGGAAAATCTGGCAGCTTCCCGCAGGCTGCCTCCTCGGAGCTGTGGGAAGGGCAGGATCTGGCTGCGCAGCACAACACTGATGTTTCTAAACCGGCAAATGGCTCTGCCAAGATGCGGGTGAGCAGCGTTGGGTGGCAAGGAGTCAGCACCGTGCCACACCAAGGGTCACGCTAAACCACCCGGTCGTAGGCAGGGCCATCACCGGGAAATGCGCGGAGGGACTGCAGCATCCCGCTACTCTCCCGCAGGATCCGACCCCTCAAAACTTCCCAGGACGGTAGAGCATCGTGTGTCAGATGTCAGCCCGGTGCTGGGCACCGCCGTCGGGTGAATACCAGGCAGAAAGCCGGCGGTTTGGGGCAAAGCGCGTGCAGGGTGGTGGCAGCAGCGTGGCTGCGAGGGCAGGGTTAGGCCGATAAGGGAGCGGGTGCAGTCTCAAAGTACAAGCGGGCGGCTCCGCTCCCGGCTGCGTGATTAAGAGCACGAGTCGGCACTCCCGGCTCCCTTCTTTGCATGGCTGCAGACAACGTTTTTCCTCCGTATCCCCCAAACGGGCGCATGGCGCTCACGTGCCTGGAGATTTGGGGAAGTGCCATGGATCACCACGTCCTGGAAAAATCGCTTTCCAGTAGGATAAGTTTGTGTTTAGCGTTGAAACCTGCCGAACCAAGCAGCTGCATCCCAAGTTTTTCCGTGACATTTCTTCTCCACGACTTCCGATGGCGCTGAACTCGGCTGCCTCCGGGGAATGGAGGCTGGGACGGGGGAGGCTGGGATGGGGGAGGCTGGGGACCAGGGTCTGGACGGTGAAATGCACCACGCCGCCTGGCACGGGCCGTGCACAACCGCACCGCATCTTCACAGCCTCACCAGGCACCCGGCATCGCTCCGCAGAGCCGTCCTGACCCCTCTCTTCCCACCCCAGCCGAAAGCCTGGCGCTGCGGATGCTCTTATTAACCCGCCCCGGGGCACTGAGCAACGCACCGGGCACCTCCCAAGAGCAAAATCCCAAATCCTCGCAGGGAATCGCAGAGTACCAAGTCGTGTCGAGACTTATTTATTTCTTTGCACTGCAAGAAAACAGCCTAAATAAACCACCTTGCTCCTTAGGACGCATCCCTGCACGTCCCCGTGCCGCAGTTTCCCATTAGTGGGTAGGAAGCGGTACCTGTTACGTCCGCTGGCACATTTTTCTGTGGTGTGTGAGGCGTGAACAGCCACGGGCGGCATCCACGGAGAAGAGCACCGTCAGCCACCGAACCACCAGCCGTCCTGCCCCGCGCCGGCCATCTCAGCATCCCCCCGCGGGAAATTAGGATCTCTCAGACCTCTTAATCCCACTAAATAACACCATATGCTTTCTGCCTGCTGTAAAATAGGCCAGACCGGTTCTCG